TTCACTGCAACCTCACAGCATTTTCTAAAGTTATTTGAAAATCATTTAGTTTCAGCTTGGTGACATAAAATGGCCTTTGAACATGCATAGGGCTTTATGTAGCGCATTCTGAAGGTGACCTTAAAAAGAAAAAATAACATGCTATCAAGCTACTGACACAAAAAATCTATTTACTTTATAAACAGAAGCACATCTATTATCTCTATTTCTAAAATACCATATTATTTATCAAGCAAAGCATTTATCCTCTAAGGTAAATACTGTGACTAACACTGATGTAGGCTACAGTAGTCATTTATTAGTCTGGCTACCTGCTCAAGTAGCCAGTCTAGTTCACCTGTATATGCATAATGGTTTCCAGGTCAGGAATGTCACTGCTTTCTCTCTTTTTTATTTCAAATACTTTCTAAAGTCAAAACCATCTTTTCTGTTACCAGTATAAAAGTGCATTATCTAAAGCCCGTTTAGCAGCAGTGTCCAATAGCAATATCCTGTCACTTTTTCTAATATTCTCTCTTTAGTTTTAAACTTGAATCTATCAAATCAATGCTGGAAATAAATGTTGTTACTTACAAAATTTAGACTGTATGGGAAAAATCAAATACAACAAAGATCTAAAACTGCATCTTTAAAGTCCTGCTTGCTCTTCATCTACCAAATGGTTCCAATAAACTGAGGCTATGCAGTTAAATCCTGTTTTTTCTGTCGATAAACAAATATTTCTGTTTTTTACTTGTCTGCTTATTTTTGTATGTTCTTTTTATTTTGCCTTGGGGTGAGTTTGGTTTTCATTATTGTGAGGATTTATTTTCAAATCATTTAAAAGAAAAAGAAGAGTAGGGAGGAAAAATGATAAACTAAACATATATTATCAGCTTTGTTTCCTTTTAAGTGTTAGTATATATAAAGTAGTGCCGGACCACCAAGAAACTAGTTGCTCTAACAGTGTTTATCCACCAATGTGCATCTTGGTTCTCATCTCCACTGCAGCAGAGGATGTGAGCCAAGAGGAAATAAACTTTAGAGCTCCTCCAACTCACCCAGGGAGGTGTAGTTTACAGAGGCTTTGTGACAATTCAATAAACCTCGTAAAAGAGGAGTCATAAAGCTGCAGCATTTATGTACAGTGGTTTACAGCAAACCACTGCTGCCTCTTCAAGGACAAAGGTCCTGAAGTGTAATCTGTGCTTATCGTTAGCTCCTCACCATAAAGTATCCACTGTTTATGCTGTTACCAGGAAGCTAACAAAGCTGGTATCTAACTATAAATATGCACAAGATATTAGCCTTCATTTAATAATCCAGGAATTGTTGTTTATCTTAAGTCAATAAAAAAAAGTAAATAATTGAGCCTCCACTCTGCTTGATTATTTGCTCCTTCAGCTTCTTTGCTTCTGTTAAAAGCTGTTTCTGATATTTTACAGGAATGCACCTCGACTTATTGAGAGAGTGACCCGCAGGTTCTCCACACAGTTTGAGCTGCAGCAGGTAACCGGCTCACGTTTTATCTGGAAGTTAGAAATAAATGTCTGTTTGATTTTGATGATCCGTTTGCACCAGATGAGTAACCTGAAACACCCTGATACCGTATCGAACAGGAATGTGTCCCATTGTGGCCCGTCTTTGTAATGAGAAATTTGCCATTTATTTTTTTCACCCTTTGACCCTCAATTAAATAAGAGCCATTAAGTTTATGGTTATCTAGATGTTTCATCACATTTGTATTGATAATCTTTATGTTTCAAAGGTCCCAACTGTTTCCTTTTATAAAAAAAAAGGTTATATAAACTGTCTATTGGTCAAAACCTGGATTTGCTGAGGTTGCAACTTCTTAAAGAAGCTAAAAGTAATTTTCGCTTCATGTTAGAGAAATTAGATAAAAACTTCCAACTCTTTATTTTCTTTTAGCTTCTTCTATAATATATTTTATTATTATATATTTATTTTATTTTACACCTTTACCATATGAATTCAGTTTAAGAGTATGTTTTAGACTCTATTGGTCTTTATTATGTTATTTTGAAAGTATTCAGACAGGAAGTTGGGTTACAAGAGAGGGCAAAGACCTGGAAAAGGTCAGCAGGGCAGCAGCACCTCTTTATTTCTTTATTTTTTTAGATTTACAAGGTTGCTCTGTTTAAAAATATCTTTTTTTTTAACATTTATGAAGCACATTTTTAGATATAAATAAAAATTAATAAACCAGTCATTTATTATTTATTTTTAAAAATGTCTTTGCATTATTCATTCAGTTCAATTAAATTAGTAAATACTTTATTAATCCCAAATAAAGTTAAAATAAAATAAACTTTTATACTTCCAACTCTTTTCCATCTTCGCAGTTTTATCTTTTTTTTTATTAATAACACCAAAAAAGGTCAGATAGCATATTTATAACATTATTTCATTGTACTTTTTTTTTTTTTAACACTTTCATAATTTGGTAATTATCTCAAATATTTCCACTTCTTATTTTGAAATATATATATATTTTTAATTAAGTCTTTCAACTTTTTTGTATTTCATATTCATTTATTCATTAACTTTAAATATAATTTTAAATTTGTATCCTCTTGAAGTAAACCCATAGATCTGTCTTGGTTTGTTGAATTGCATCCTATATTGCTAATAGTTTTGATCATAGCAGTTGAAAACATTCAGCTGTTAATCAAATTATTTATTTTCAGCTTTATGATTCATTTGAATATATATAACTAATAAGTCTGACAGAGTTCATAATTGTTAAATATAGATACAATAAATATAATTAAAGTTATATATAGTTATATATAAGATGCAAATATGTTTGACCTATCCAAACTGAAAGGACCAGAAATCTTTTAAAAAGTAAAACTTTTTAATGAATTAAAAATTTAAAGTATTCCTTCATGTAATGATCCTGTTTTTTTTTTTCTGCAGCTGGAAAGATTCAAGGAAGTGGGAGGCTACGACAGACACATTGATCAGGCCATCGAGCAAACCAAAGTCAACATCCAATGGGTGAAGGAGAACAAAAACATCATCCTGGAGTGGTTCGAGAAAGAAACAGCCCATCTTGAATAAACAAAGATTTCCATGTTTTGTAGCCGATGGGATCAGCGGCGCAGCCGGTTTTCAGGCAACTTTAAAGTGAAGGAAACTACAGATCAAGTTTAAGGATTCAAAAATTCAACAGGTGATAGTTAATCAAATGAAAGCCGCATCCATGTAGGACAGTCAGTGAGAGGCATGCCGTTGTTTGTGTAAATAGTAATGAATGTTATTTATTGTGTATTCAATGAAAACAGTAAAAATATAAATATGTATCGCTTCTCTGAAC